TCACAAATGGAGATTTGTAGCAGTTTGTACAGGTGGGCTCTCTCAACATCTGTTCTTACCTTCTTTCCACCACTTCAATTTTAGAGGCGGAAGTTAACTATCACCTTGCAGCTGTATTGCAATGAAAGATGGTTGTGTTTGTGACAGTTTGGGGCAATGTTCGGGGAGCAGAAATTTGCTGGAGCTTTTGGGGAAAAGCTCATTTTCCTTATCAAGGTATCCAGTGTCATCTAGGATCATGTTGCAACTTAAGTTTAACATGGTCCTATGAATTTTAGAAGGTGGTAGCAGTCAGGTTTATATCCAAGAAATGAGAGTAGCTAGACTATGAATATTCTTAGAGTAGATATTTATACGGTAATTTGTTTTTGTTTCTTCCAATGCTTTTATGCTTTGACAAAACTTCCTCACTATTACACATTTATCTAGTGTCATTTTTATATTGAAAATCCTATATGTAGAAACGTTTGACCATCAACAAATACCAGAGATGAGAAACAACTGGAAGTTTTTGCCTGAGCACTGGACCAGAGGAGCAAGATGTTGGAGCAGGGGTGTGAGCCGGGATTCGTTGTGGACTCTCTTGAACTATGAACCAGAAGAAACCCTTCCTCCCTTCAGTTACTTTTGACAGTGTGTTTGTCACAGCAACTAAGCCACAGAAAGCCTGTTCCTTGCAGGTCAAAGGAGAGCCACCATAGACATGGTCTTGTGGAGGGTTCTCTCCAGCGCCCATACTTTTTATGTATCCTTGTGCAGACACTGTTGGTTGCCTTCCCGACTGCCAGGCCCCTTCCTTCATAGCTAAGGAAAACCATAGTTTAATTCTGATAGTCACATTCCCAGGACCCACGTCATGTTTGGACAAAGCTGTTGCAGCAGAAGCTCTCTGGACAAGTGATCAAAGGTGGGGAACTCGATCAAGCTTTGGTGAGTAAGAAGCACAAGGAGGAAGAGGACAGGAAATGCATCAAGAGGGATAGAAAGGGTTTGTTGGATAAAGACAGTCCTGTGAGAAGAAAGTGCTTTTGTTTCCGCTTTCCTGCCTAGAACATGGTTAGGTGTGGATGTTGTGGTTGGAGTTATGGTTCTTTGGACTTGAATCAAGATGACAGCCCAAGGGCAAAAGGCAATTTTCCCAGGTGATTGGTGCCTCTGATGCCAAGGCAGAGTGGAAAAAGAAGGCTCTTAAGTCCTTGATGATTGTGGTGAGTGAGTCAAAGTGTCACACCTAGAACTGCCTACCTCTGGACTACGACTGCAAGATGATCAGTTGTCCTTACTATTTAAACACTATGGGTGGAGCTGTCTGATACTTGCTACCAAAAGCATTTCTAACTGCTAGCCCATAAAAATCAAGACAGAGGTCAGCGGTGGTGGCACACACCTATAATCCCAGCCCAGAAACGTGGGAAAGGGGAGGATCCGGAGTTCAAGAAAAGCCTTGAGCTACAGAATGAGTATGAAGACAGCATGGACTACTTGTGACACTGTTTCAAAGATGAAGGAGGAAGAGGTTGAGGAAGAGAAAAGACAAGGAAAGAAGAAAGGAAAAAAAGAAAAGGATGGGGAGACCGCTCGGTTGTTAAAACACTTGCCTTTGCAAGCACAAGGACCTCAGCTTGATTCTAGAACTCAGGAAGAATGCCAGGCACGGCATCACATTATTGTTTTTTACTTTTTCTTTTTCTAGACAGTGTCTCTCTGTGTAGTCCCAGCTGTTCTGGAACTTGCTCTGTAGACCAGGCTGGCCTCAAACTCACAGAGATTCCCCTGCCTCTGCCTCTCCAGTGCTGGGATTAAAGGTGTGCACCACCATACCATATTCTTGTAATCCCAATGCTAGGGAGATAGAGACAAAAGGACCCCTGGGGCTTGATTGTCAACTAGTGTTACCTATTGATGAGTTTGGAGAGTTCCTGGTCTATGAGAGACTTTGTGTCAAAGAAGGTGGACAGTCTTTCCTCTGGCCTTAACACATGTGTGCATGAAAACATGTATACTCGCATATATGTATACTCACACAAACATACACATTGTTTCTAATATCAAAGAAGAGCAATGTTAGTTGGCTTGTTCTTGAATAAAAACCAGGGGAGCAGATGTCAATAAAATGAATAAACTAGCGAAGCATACATATTAATAGAAATGTGACTCCTTCCACACCACCAGGCAGAGACAAAGCTATACAGAGTAATTTGAGAAGTGACATCTTCATATATTACAGTCTTCCTTTTTCGGAAGATGATGTATTTCTCTGTTATTTACATCTTTTCCGTCCCTAAATTACTATTTTACAGACTTATTTATTTTATATGTATGAGTGTTTTTGCTTGCATATATGCATGTACACTATATGCATGCCAGGTGACTGCAGAGACCAGAGGAAGGTGACAGATCCCCTGGAACTGGAGTTACTGATAGTTGTGACTCACAATGTGGTGCTGGGGACAAACCTGGGACTCCTTCAAGAACAGCAAGTGTGCTTAACCTCGGCATCTTCTCCAGCCCCATTTACTATTTATACAATAGTATAAGCTTTATTTAGTTCTTGTTAGATTTGTTCCTCAGTATTTCATGCTTGGGGCTATTGTCTCTTTCAAGATGTCAGGGTTCCCTACAGATCTGTCTTCTTTTCATTCCACAATATCTAAAAAAAAATCAGCCCTTCAACTGCCCTACCCCCAACTCCAATTCAAGCTGCCCCTTCTCCACCCTGGGCAAACAGCAATTGCACTTAACCTCTCTGGCTCATGGGCCTTTGCTTAGACTGGTTTTTGGAGGTCATCCAATCTTGATGAACAAGAAAAGGTAACATTTGGAATCCAGCAAGCTTGAGGTTAAAACATGTCATGTCAGCAATTGCTAAACAACAGTACATCAGATTAGGTCAAGAATTTGTGAAATGTTTGTGCCAAGTGAAATGTCAAAGCACAAAGTGTGTGAAAGGGAAAAAAAGCCTCTGTGTCAGTCAAAATGTCATTCTGTCCTGCAGCAAGTAATTTATTCCTCTCTGTCTTTATCGTTCTTCTTGTTTCACATGTACTAATGTAGCCTCTAAATAATTGAAATTAATAGTGGCATTATCAGTGGCTTAGGGTAAAAACTAAAGAGCTAATTTAAAATCACTCAGTCAATTTAAACTCATTTTGAAAATGGAAATTGTTAACCCAGCCTTAAAAATAAGCCATTACCTGATGGTCCAAAGCATTTCTACCACTGCAATTATCCGTTCTGTTAATTTTTGTAATATGTATAGAAAAGGCACAGAAGAAGGTAGAAAGGAATGGACACATTCTTCAAATTCTGTGTCCAAGAAAATAAGAAACATGATAGAAACGCTAAACATAGGCTTGATGGATCCAGGTAGCCCTCAATAAATGGCATTCCAACTGCTCATTGAGTTCATTGTGAGGCAAAACTCCACAATTTTCACCCCCATTTTTCCACCGGTTTCAATTTCTAAACTGGCAGAGCTTTCTAGAACATGACTCCTCTCTACACCACTTGCTTTCTCTAAAAGCAACTCTCTGTTGCATAGGCATCACCAAAAACAGGGGAACAGCTCCTGCTCTTGATGTTACAGTTGCCTGGTAATAAGCTAGAAGGTTCCTTTGTATACATCAGGGCAAGGGCTAGGATAAGGCCAGCTGGGCCCCAGAGCACAACATTTAAGTGCTCCCTCTTGGGGCTGCCCTGGCAGCTGCATGAATCCTCAATGTTGCTCTTTCCATAAATGCTGCATGACCAGCATCTCCCTAGCACCATTCTGGTCCTGGTCAGTCATTATTGATAATAGTAGAATTGGAAAAAGACTTGGAAAGTAGGAATACCTCTTTGAATCTGTCCCTAAACTGGGTTTCTAGCCAATTACACTAATACCAATATTAGAACTTTGATAATAAAAATTTCTCTATTGGCTAAGATAAAGTCTATTAATTGGGTTGACAATGTGAAGAATCATGTGAGACTTCCCTGTTCTGGTTTGGCTTTCAACTCCTCATTTGAAGCTTTCACTTCATCGATACAGAGATGGCTGCACTGAGGAAAACTGAACAAGAGAATCGCCGATAATCTAGAATCTGAAATTATTAAAAAAAAATCATAGGTGCTTTCCAGTGATGTCTTCCTCACCAATTAAGGCTATTCTTCTCAGTGTCAGAACACATAAAACAGAGTGTGAACCAGAATATGCCTGTGTAGCCATCACTTAACAAATTAAACTGTGTACCCACCATGTTTTCAGCAAACCCTGTGGGATCCTTCAAGAGAATTCCAGGGATAGAGATATGACTTGATGTGTAAAATGCTTGTAGCACAAACTGGGTTCCTAGCACCACTTCAGAGCAGTGGAGCAGGGAGCATCTGTAATCCTCGCCCTGGGGAGGTGAAAACAGGTGGGCCCTTGGGGCTTGCTGGCCAGCCAGTCTAGGTAGCAGTGAACTCCAGACTCAGTGAGAGACACTGCAGCGAAAATCATGTAAGGACAGGCAAGATGGCTCTATGGGTAAAGGTTCATGCTGCCAAGTCTGACGACCTGAGTTCCGTCCCTGGGAACCACAAGGGGAGAATCAACTCCTCTTGAAGTTACACACACACACACACACACACACACACACACACACACACACACACACACACACACACACCGCCACTGGAAAGCACCTATGATATTTTTTTAATAATTTCAGATTCTACATCATCAGCGATTCTCTTGTTCAGTTTTCCTCAGTGCAGCCATCTCTGTATCGATGAAGTGAAAGCTTCAAGTGAGAAGTTGAAAGCCAAACCAGAACAGGGAAGTCCCACATGATTCTTCACATTGTCAACCCAATTAATAGAATTTATCTTAGCCAACAATAAATAAAATTAACTTTAATTTTTAAGAAATCAAGTGAATGATAGAGAAAGATACCCAATATGAATCTCTGGCTGATATAAAAGAAAAGAAAAGGTTTCTAAACTCAATACTTTACATCACGTGCACCACTTTGTCTTACCTGAGTAAATGAAACTTGTCTCTCTGCTTCTGCTGCTGACTCCCTGAAGCAGATTCTTCAGCCAGTTGTCAGACTGACTCTTCTGAAATATAGAGTCAGGACATGATGGACCTCTGCACAAAACCCACTACTGTCTTCCTACATGTCAGGGGGAACAATCTCAAGCCCATCCTTTGAATGCTATGTGATCACATCCATGCATCATTTTCAATATTTCTCCCTTATCTTTCCCCCCTGTAAGCTCTCCCAAATACCCCACCCCACTCTCCTTCAAGTTCACGGCCTCTTTTTTCACTAATTGTTATCGCATTCATATACACATAATCTGTTCTGTCCATAAAATGCCACCTGTATGTATGTTTTCAGGGTTAGTTGTTTGGCACTGGACTACCAACCGGTGTGTTCTCCCCCGGAGAAGGTTACCTGTCCCATCCCAGCTGCCCTCGTTGTCTATAGTTCTTTGTGTAGGACTGAGGCTTCACTGGGCTATTCTCTGTCCAGTTTGACATGGTCATTGATGCAATCCTTGTTCAGCTCACATATGGGCAATGATGTTGGTAAGAGTTTTTGAGTGTAGTTCCTGATGTTACTGGGAGACACAGTCTCACAGCAAACTCTCTGATTCTCTGGCTCTTACCTTTCTGTCCCCTCTTCAACAGTGTTCCCTGAGTCTTAGGTGGGGGGGGGTGTTCTGTAGATGTATCAACTGGGACTGAGTTCCACAACTTTGAATTTTAGTTGGTTGTGGTTTTCTGTAATGATCTCCATCTATTGCAAAGAGAAGTTTCCCTTGTGAGAGGTGAAGACTGCACTTATATATAGGTATAAGGACAAATGTTTATAGAGTATTCTTACAGATTACACCAGTTTAGTAAATTAGTGGCTGTAGATTCTCCTTCAAAAACCAAGACTTCACTAGCACTGAGTAGTTAGCTAAGTTTCCAGTACCAAACATGGGCTCCCTCTTACTGAGCAGGTCTTCAGTTCAATTAAAGAGATGTTGGTTACCACCAAGGTATGTGTGCCACTATTGAATCCATAGGGTTATAATGTCATGCTGAGTGTTGATGTGGTTCATAGACTTAATGTTTGGGAAGAACTGTTAGTTACCTCCCCCTCCTTTGGAAGCTTGCATGGCATCTTCTGGTACCATGAAAGCTAGTTCTCAGGGAGGTTTATTCAGGTCAGTTGAAGGCAAGGGATTATAATCAGTTCACCAAACCCAAGATGAATGATAAATAGGTGTTTACCGGGGATGAAATTACACAGATAACAATAAGTAACTATCTCAGCATTCCTGCTCCAAGGATGCAGACCCTGCCTCCCAGATTGTTGGGGAAGTCTTATGCCAATAAAGCACTGTCTGGCCAATAGGGAATCTAGATAGGAGGGGCTAGGAGTCCAGGAGGATTCTGGGAAGGAGAAACAGAGGAGAGTCGAGATGTAACGCCATTGGGGTAGGAAGCCCGGAAACCTCTCCGGTAAGAGACATACTTAGATTAACAATTATGGGGCAATTACTTAAGTCAGAGCTAGCCAGTAAGAAACAAGCAAGGCCAACAGCTTCATAATTAATATAGCCTCCTGTGTGTTTATTTGGGACTGATGGGGCTCTGGAATCAGGCTGGCGGGAAGGCATTCTCTCAAGGAAATAGCTTCTCTTAACAGAATGGTTGTCAGGAGTGGGATTCAATTTCCACGCAAAACAACAAAAGCTTTAAAGGAATTTTAGAAACAGAAGAACAGAGAGAAGCACAGATTTTGGTAGCAGCATTTTCTCAGGTGTGCTCTGTTTTGCTAGCAACAAGCCAAGATTCACGTGGCTCGCTTACTGGAGTCTTCCTGACTCGGCATAAAAAGAAAAAAAAAAAACAGCCAGCAAGGTTGTTTTAAGAGACTCTGCTAACGATTGAAAGGTGTGTACGTACAGCTGGAAGTGGCAGCTTTTGCTAGATGTCAGCATGGACTGAGGCGGTAAGCTGGAATCACGCTTACGCCCGCCATCTTGACGAAAAACCGGCAGTTTAAAACAGCCGCGGTTTTACAGATAAGACACGTGGCCAGAAAAACATTAAGATTTACAGTAAAGTCAGACTTGGATGAAAATCTCTAAAGGTTTACAGTGTGTTTAAAAATATGCGTAAGATTGAGAGAGAAAATAAAGAAGCCGGCTGTGGTGGTGCACGCCAGTAGGAATTGCTCCAGAGGCAGAGGCAGGCAGATTTCCAAAGAGAAACCCTGTCTCAGAGAAAAATAAATAAAAGTGAAAGAAATTGAGTAATAATAATAATAGATTAATAAATAAGCCACGTAAAGATGGAAAATACACAGAGAGTCTGGATACTGTACGCTATTATGTTTTTCAGTTTTTTCATTGCTAAGGAAGGAACAGCTACTGAAGTACACTTGATTATAAATGCTGCTGAATTAATTCAACTTATATCTTTTGAAAATGCCTTGACCTCAAAATTTAAGTATATGGATATGTTACTCGGAAAAGGAGTTTTAATTTATGTTTCCACAGAACATAAAAAGCTGAGGATTTCTTCCAGACTTCTGTGGTTTGACGAACCAAGATCCCCGGAAGCAGTGGACCAGGTGTTCCAACTATTGAGACAGCTAAGATGATGCAGCTTTACAGACCCCGAAAATACGGACTTATACAGGTTTCTGAGTTTTGTCATGATCCCCATGGTATGAACAGCGCCCCCTTCCAGCATGAAGCAGTTTGGAATGAACGACGTCCTAAATCCCATCTTGTTTATAAATATTTGTTTTCATTTAAATGGGGTTGTTTATAATTGGCTAATGATCACAGCCAATCTCTTTTAATGGTAAAAAGGGGAATTATGGTATGAGTATGGTTTTTCATTTATTGATACAAATTCAAGGTCAATTTTGTGACATGTATATTTCTCCTCTTGATTAAGTATTGTGCTTATACTGATCTTTTAAAACGTAATGCATAATTGAATACAGACTATAGTTACTTATAATAGAATTTATAATTAGGTAAGTTAGGTTTTCTAGATATACAGAAATATATTTGAGATAGATAGGCAGTCTTCAAACCTTTCAAAGACCTTCAGAAAATGGCATTTTAAAATGGTTTAGGGTTTTTCTTGACAATGAGAAATGTCTGCTCCTGGCAGCACCAATTACGTCTGAGAGGAAGATGGCATCGAAGAAACTTGTTATGGAGTTTGCTTTCAACATGGCAAGATTAGCCATTTGGGCAAGAAACTGCTCTTGCCTGTACTGCTTGACTGTTATTGTATAATCTGGACATGCAGGACCCACAGGAAAGTGACTGCTGAACTCAGTCTTACAGGGTTCCTGCTTCATGGAAGAGTCTGAGAGACTTTCTGCAGGACAAAGAAAACTGACTGACAGACTGCTGATGCAGATGGACAGTTTGAAATTTCCTGCTTGGCTGAGAAATCTTCTGGATACATTGTGGCCTATGGGCTGAAGATGGATGCCCCAACGTTACAGAGGAACTTCGGGTGACTGTCCAGGCAGTAAGATATCTCTGTCAATCCTAGTGTTTATATATTATCCTTCTGTGGTCTTTGATAGAGTTGAAGACAGATAGTTATTATTATAGTTTTCCTTAGTTATGATAAAAGATAAGCTACATATAGGACTTTGGACTCACAAGGATGGGATGGATGATATTTTCTTTAAATCTTGCTAAATGTTAATAGACAAAATGGTGTAACTGTGTTCTTACTTGATAACTGTTCTGTTATATACAATTTGACTGTGTTAAAGTTAAGACCTTTCTTTTTGTTTAAACAGAAAAGAGGAGATGTTGGGAAAGTCTTATGCCAATAAAGCACTGTCTGGCCAATAGGGAATCTAGATAGGAGGGGCTAGGAGTCCAGGAGGATTCTGGGAAGGAGAAACAGAGGAGAGTCGAGATGTAACGCCATTGGGGTAGGAAGCCCGGAAACCTCTCCGGTAAGAGACATACTTAGATTAACAATTATGGGGCAATTACTTAAGTCAGAGCTAGCCAGTAAGAAACAAGCAAGGCCAACAGCTTCATAATTAATACAGCGTCTTGTGTGTTATTTGGGACTACAACTCGGCAGAGCCCAGGCGACTGGCGGGGGATAAACCAAAGCGGCTAGCAAGAAAAAGCTTCTCTTTAACACCAGATGATCTCTGTGACCCCAGTCCCTTCCTCCTCTGCCTTAAATGGGTCACGTCCAAACCTGTAACCATGCCCAAAAAGCATGGCCATTGTTACAGGTTCACAGGCAAGATACCACTAGAGTCAGTTCCTACTCAGGGGTTGGTCTCTGGGCCCTATTTCTGAAGGCCATAGTGTCTTCATTATTTTTATTTAACCATCTGGCAAGTTTTCCATTTTTCCTTAGTAGAATTGAAGCTCAATGACACTTTTACCATGTTTTACTTATTACTACTTTGGAGCACCAACAACATTGCCTGAGCATATTTGTTGAAATTAAGTGCTAGAACATGTAGGTCATGTATTAATCCTGGTCACTGCAGAAGACTATGTTTCTGAAGTCACATGATTTTCCTTTGACTAGACCAGTATTTCAAGCCTCTTACCATCCCTTTGCTGTCTCATTGGCCAGATGAGAGAAACATTAGAGAACTTCAGATGGAAACAATATTTTTAAATTGCTTTTTATTATTACTATTTTTAATGAAATGTACATGGGACAGGTACGTGCATGTGGAAGGGAAAATACCCTCAGAATTCAAAAGAGAATATTAAATCTCCAGGGAGTTGTGAGCCACCCAACATGGGTACTGAGAACTGAACTCAGGTTCCCAGCAAAAGCAGCGCCTGCTGTGTTAATGGCTGAACCATCTCTCCAGCCCCTTAAAAATTTTCAACATGAGTAAATAGAGAGTATAAATATTTTTATTGATCATGTGATGCAGCTACTTCCCCCAGGCTGAACATGACTTCTGTGGTCTTAAATCAAAACATCTATGATCATCCATATAATATTAGGCCTATTTACCTTCCCTCCTGGAGGGAGGGGCAGGCTTGTGAGCCTTCAGGAGATGCGCACAAGGTCCTTTAAGTTACACAGTTATTAAGAAGTAAGCAATTTACTAAGTGTAAGACACTTCAATAGAATGTCTGCTCATAAGTTACAAAGACTCTTCAGTGGTACAACTTTCATTGTCTTATGTACCAAGGGTGGGACTCTTCAGTGGTTTAACTGCCTATAGGGGACATTCAGGTAATATACCTTCCTTTTGTCGTCTATCTCCCTACAAGTAACCCCAATAAAGTCGAACTTGGATGAAATAATTTCTTTGGTCTATCAGTGTCCTTTGTCTGAAGTGAATAGGTATTTTTATGTCTCCTCAGGAAAAGTCAAGGGGTGGGGCCAAGTCTAAATATAGGAGGGGTATACTTAAGAGAACTGGAAATTAATAGTATATTTATAAAAGTTTAATACCTGGTATAAATCCAGGTGGAGGTGTCCAGTAGGATGTTGGATATGAGTATTTGTAATTCAGAGAGAGAAGAAGCTTAAAGTCATAGAACTAAAGATCATTCCCTGGAGAAGGGTGTAGACCGAGTACTGAAGTCTAACCCTGAGCATTTTTGAAGTCAGGGAGATGAGGAAACATCAATGATACACTGCTACAAAGGAAGGTGGGAAAAGAGACAGTGGCTGAAGGAAAATAGGAGGCTGGAAGAATATCTTAAGTATGAGAAATGGGTTAGTGTATTTGATGAAATGGAAACAACCCACTGAGAGATGAGAAATTATCGGTGCAGAGAAGAGCCACTGTAAGGGTGGAGCTCTGGAGTGGACACAGGGAGCCGGGAGCAGAGCAGAGCTGAGGCTGAGCTTAGGCAGCCAGACCGTCCACCCACTACAGTGTGTGCACCAGTGAGGGGAGGTGGATGGGGCCGAGAGCTTCGGGGGAATTCCCCGATGGTGCTTCTGTTTTCTTCAGCAACGTACTGGACCAAAAGTCGTAGTAGGAATCTTAGGGAACACCTAGGGAATGGGGTTTTCTGAGGATGATTTGGGGTAAAGGCTAGAAGGGTGTTATAGGGTGTTCAACAGCTCTTATTGAAATGACTAGGTTGGAGGTTCAACAGTAGGACTGTTGACAAAACTACTCAAGTGGCTAGACAGGAATACGTGGTCTTTTCCAATGTAATATAGTTGTGATTAACGGCTTTAATTAATGTTTACTGAGTGCCTGCTGCACATCAAAAAGCCTCTATAATGACCTCAAGAATTAGGCCAAAGAGATGGCTCAGCAGCTAGCAGCACTTGTTGAGTTTCATTCCAAGAACCGACTTCAGGCAGCTCCCCATAACCACCCAAAACTCCAGCTCCAGGGTGATCCAGGAAGCCTCTGGCCTCCCAAGATGTTCTCTCTCTCTCTCTCTCTCTCTCTCTCTCTCTCTCTCTCTCTCTCTCTCTCTCTCTCTCTCTCTCTCTCTCTCTCTCTCCTCCTCCTCCTCCTCTCCCTCCCCCACACTCATAATTAAAAATACAACAATTAGAGGCTGCCTTATTTCATCTCCATCACGTATGACAGAAGAGTGGGTCCCAGAGCTGAAGTTTCAGTGACAGCAGTGGATACAAGATCTGACTCTTGATCCCCAAAGTAGGCTCTTTCCCCAGGCCTGCACCATTCTTTTCAGCTGAATCACCTTCAAGTTTTCACCCACAGCTTCCAGACACTGTCTGGTTTACCCAGGAAGACTTAAGTTTCAGCTCTCATTGTTGAGCCTGAGACAGAAGTCTCATTCTGTGGCCAGGGGCTATAGTCTCCTGGGAGAATAAGCCTCTTCTTCCTCTTCTAGGCTAGCGGCCCTTTGTTGGCTTAGAAACCAACATAATATGGCAAGTCCTACAGCCTGTCTGTTGGCTTTCTTTGCTCCAGGGATAAACCTTCTGGCCTGCTCCAGCAGCTCCTTTGCCTCGCTAGAACAAATTTCCTTGGGAAACCCTATAGTCCAGTCCAGAGAACTTATTGGTCATTCACCATGTGGTAACTCTTCTTCCATTTAAGTAAAAAAGCAAGACCGAATATCCTGTCACTGTTTTTCCCAGAATGCTCTACCCTAAGACCAGAGCGTTCTGTCTTCAGGATATGATGTATACAAGTTGTTGTAATTTAAGAAAAGTGGCTCTCAAGAGAAAGACGTTACACTATAGGGCTCAAGCAGAGGGATTTTTTTTTAATTCGGGAAAGGGTTCATCAAAAGGGAAAGGGGAGGGGGGAGACTGACCTCTGGGGACAGGAGCAGCAGGAGGGTTGGGGGGAGAGGAACAGACAGACAGAGAGAGAAAGAAAGAGAGAGAGAGAGGGTGGGAGGTGGGCAGGGCCCTTTTATAAGGGAACATAGTGAATATCCACAAGTGATGCTGTTAGTGGTTGCAGCTGAGGGAAAATCCTGTCAGAACCCCAAGGACAGGCCGGTACAGATGCCTGAATACTAACATAAATGACACAAGAAGAAAACAGAGGTATAAACCTTTCCTCAGAACTAGTGAGATGGCTCAGCAAGTAAAACTGCTGACCACCTGAGCTCAATCCTTAAGATTCACATGGTAGAATGGGAGATCTGGACACTCTTCTGACCTCTATATGCACGGTGCACTCAAGTGCATGTACTAGCATGTTCACACACTAGTATACACATACACACACACACACACACGCACACACACACACACGCACGCACGCACGCACACACACGCTCATTTTATTTTATTTCCACCAAAAGGAAAAAAGTTCATGCATGTCTCTTTAGAGCTGGAAGAATTTGCCTGATCTCTGCTTTGTAGCAAGGAATCTTCAATGCCTGAGGTGAAGAAGCAACAGCTGCAGTTGGATGTCACCACTGAACTATCATCCTAGGCCAAATCTGCCCAGCAGAACTTTCTGCCATATGTTCTACACCTGTGCCTCCCACTTCAGTAGCCACAGACCAATATGGATATTAAGCACCTACAAATTAGCTAACCCTTCTAACGAACAAACTTTTCAAATGTATTTACTTTCATTTTAAGCCGAATATGGATAATGGCTATCACATTAAACTGTGCAGACTATAAAACAGGAGTCTATATCACCCATCTCTTATGACTAGAGTTACCAAATAAGCCCACAAAATATTACCATAAAGACCCTTGCCTGGTCAGCAACTCTTTTTGTGTGTGTGGAAACCAGATATTGATGCTGTCTTCCTCTGTTACTTCTCTGTCTATTTGTTTGAGACGGGATCTCTCACTAAACCTGGAGCTCACCAATTCAGTTAGACCAGCTTGTCAGAAAGTCCCAGGAATTGTCTGTCCCCTCCATTCCGACCCTGTGCTGGGGTCGCCGACACTCACAGCATACCACATGGACAGAGTTTGGAAACTCTACAGTCAGGTCCTGGAGCCTGCACAGTAAGTACTAAGTCATCTCCCCAGCCCTGTCAGCCCCTATTAAGAAAGAAGGAAAGTCACCACTGAGGGCTTGGAATGTAGCTCAATTGGTAGAATGCTCGCCTAGCTGGCAGGAAGCCCTCGGTTCCTTGGTTTGAGCTTCACAGAAAAAAAAATCACAATAACAAAATCCTGACATGGAGGCACTTGCCTGTAATCCTAGCATTTGGGAGGTAAAGGCAGAAGGAGCAGGAGCTCAAGGTCAATCTTGGTTATGTAGCTAGTTCAAGCCAGGCTGAATTGCCTGAAACCCTGTCCCAAAAGAAAAGGAGAAGGTTTCTACTATCTTCAAATAAAAGAGAGTCGTGTCCTATAATTTCAACACTCTCTCACAAACTACTATGTAGACTAGGCCAACACATACTTACCCCCTTGCAGTTTCTGTAAGTCAAAAGTCTAAAAACAGTGTAGCTCACCTGAATTCTCTTATGGTCTTACAAGGCCCAAGCTAAACTGTTGACTGGGCTGTGTTTCCTGGAGACTCTGAGATGGAATTGACTTCCTAGTTCCTTGCTATTGTAGTCTCTCTGATCCTTGTACACATCCCCTCCGTCTCAGGTCTCACAGAATGCACGCACCCTGCTGGTGTTCTGATGTCCTCCACAGCTAGGAAAACACTCTGTTTTACAAGCTCAAGTAATTACACTGGACCCACTCAGAGAATCCATTTTAAGGTCAATTGATTAGTAACCTTAATTACATCTGCAAAGTCTCTTTTGTCCATTAGCATAATATAATTACAGGAGTAAAAGTCATGAGCCAAAATTCTGCCTGTCATAACCTTTAGTCAAGAAGAAGAAACAAGGCTGTAACCAATAATTTCTGTGTCTTCACAAGAAAATAAAGTGACTGTACTAAAGTAATTTTTAGAACTCTATTTTCCATGTTCCAGAGTCCCGAGTCCTGGGTCTCACTCCAATCCTGCAGGAAATTGGTCTCTATAAGGGTGCTCAGGTTCCAGGCTGCTCTTCATAGACAATCTTAGTCTTCACAAGAGCTCTCAGCAAGCAGCTTCCCACTCCCCTCGAGAGTCTTTCCCCTCACAGGAGACCCAACCAGCGTATCTGGCACTATTTCTGGTTTAGCTAGCGCTGGTTAGATATTAAGCCCTGATAAGGGCAACCCCACCTGGAGGCTATTAATTAATGAACAAACCGTGTGTGCAAACTGAACTACTCAGCTACAGTTAGCAAATTCCAAGAAGAAAATGAAGTGGATGGAAAAATACTTCCTTCTAATGAGGTGAAAAGAAAAACCAAGTGTTCAAGTCCTAAACAAAGAGTTGCCTGTGTGTGCTGTCCTCTTATGAGAAAGGAGGAAGAGGACATTGAGCCTCGTGTTCCAAGAAAGAGTGGAGAGAGGACCTGTTGGTACCTGAACGAAATTAAACGAAGCTGATTCACTTTCCAAGAATAAGTATATGGGTGGTCGGAGAATTTGTCATGAGAGGAGTCTGCTCACAAGGCCATAATGTTGAGAACCCTGTAAAAAACGGCTGGTGGGTTCTTTCTCTCTCTTCCAGCTAAGCATGATGCCTGAAGGAAAGAAGCCAAGGGGAAGAAGGTGGCCCCCACCATCGTCAAGAGACAGGAGGTGAATCATTTATTTGAGAAAAGGCCTAAGAACTTCGGCATTGGGCAGGACATCCAGCCCAAAAGAGGTCTCACACACTTCATCAAATGGTCCAGCTACATCAGGCTGCAGCAACGAAGGGCTATCCCTGATAAGTGTCTCAAAGTACCTCCTGGGCCCTGGACCGGCAAACAGTTACCAAGATGCTTAGGCTTGCCCACAAGTACAGGCCAGAGACAAAGCAAGAGAAGCAAAGGTTGTTGGCCTGTGCTGACACGATGAGAACTACTGCCACTGGGGAGGCGACATCCTGTGTCCTAAATCTGTGTCTCACACTGCCAAGCTGGAAAAGGCAAAGGCCAAAGAGCTCACCACTAAGCTGGGTTAAATGTATACTGCTAAGTTTTCTGTGCGTAAATATAAATTACAAAATTGAGAGAAAGTGGGAGGTAAAGAAAACCTAATTTGTCACTTTGGGGGAGCGGGAACCACCTTGTTTAGGAAAATACCTTGAAAAGTTAGGTGGTGAAGAGGTTAAGTTCTGGGACAAAGAGGTACCTAAGCTGCTTTGAAAGGTGGGGCCAGGGATCCTAGAAAGATGGTTCAGTGGTTAAGAGCATTTGCAGTACTTGAAGAGGATCCCAGTTCCGCCACCAGCATCCATATCAGACGGTTCACAACCAGTTCCTGGTGATTCAACGTCCTCCCTGGCTTCTGGGAGCACTTTCAGATACAGAGAGACACACAGATACATATTAAAATGTACATGGATGTCCAGAATTTCAGGCAAATTCAAGGATAATCTGAGCTAGTGAGTCCCTACCTCCAAAAAAGGAGGGGGTGGGCATCAGCAGCCAATGATCTTCAATGTGTTGCTAACTGCCATGAGTAGCAATTTAGGAAGAAACCAAGTTCCATAGGTCCATGTGGGATGAAACCTCATGGAAAGTTGGAAATCAGAGCAGGAGTAACCAGGAACTCTGTCATCCCACAATAAAGGATTGTGTTAACCTGGGGACAGCACCATACTTCCTCTAGAGTGGCTTGAGCCAACTTAACCTCTAACCTGAGGCCAGGTGACCCTAGTTAGCTTGTGCTAGACGAGTCACTCAAAGTTTTAGCATTGCAGTGATATTGCTGCTTTTCGTGGCACAATCTTTGTCGCAGTTAATTTGATTTAATTTGTCACAATTTTCCCAGAACGTGTTCATACTTTTTCCCGTTTCGGACCAAGTTCGAAGCTTCAGTGTTGGGCCTCGTACCCAGCACGGCACTGGGTGAGGTGTACTCATCTTGGCAATCCACAGCAGGTATCAGGCAGGCTCACTGCTATCATCATAAAGTCTCTTAGAGAAGCCTTATCAAGTCACAAGTCTTGTGGTTTGGACATGATGTACACACCCCCAAACACTCGTGATTTGGAAATCTGATCTTCAGTTAGCAGACCCAATGGCACAGTTCACAGAAGGCCTGAGTATGCATTTCTCTTCTCTTTAATCCAGGCATAATGATTCTAGCTTCCTTATTTGAAGCTGATAGCTATGTCCCTGAGCAGAGGCCTCTTGTTGTTGACCAAATCATAATGTGGGCAGCACCTAGCTTCAGCCACTCCCCAGCACTCTCTCTGCAGCCCTTCTGTCAGCAGCCCAGGCTCAGACCTTTACCTACCTCTCCACCTCGGCATTCTTGGTCTCCTCCCTAAGTGGCAGTCCCTCTGGGAGCCTGTCTTTTCTCTAACCATCCCTCCAGTCTCCCCTGACACCCCCGCCTATTCCTATAACCCCCTGCTGGCCCTCTGAAGCCCTCAGCCATTTGCAAACTTCCTTCCTTTTATACCATAAAACTCTTCCATGGGTTCCTTTCTGCTCCACCTTAAGCTCAACAGCACCTCGGTGAAGAACTCTGCCTTCCCTGCAGCCCCAGGGGAGGGAGATTGTTTATTTGTCTTGTATCCTCAGGCATCGAAGGAATATTTACACTGATTCCCACTCCCAGTGTCCAAAGTCTTTATTATTCATCCATTCCAAAACCTTCTGCCCTTACAGCTGTTTCAGTCAAGGCTTCCACCGCCCTCTCTTCCCCTACTTTAGTCATCCCTGTGGTTTCATCCTAAAGTGATCATTACCCAGAACGTGTCAACACTGCCAACTTAAACTCTGAAGTCTCCCAATAACTGATTTTTGTTGTTGTTCCCTCTTTTAAAGGAAGCAAACAAAGCTATGCTTGGTGACGAAGACCTAGGATCCAACTGCTTGAGAGACAGACAAGATGATTACAGGTTCAAGATATACTGAGCTCTATCGTAAGTTCTAGGCCAGCCTGGGTAATTTATCTTTAAAAAGAAATCTTTTATGTTTTTAAAGAGCTGGGAATCCTACTCAGTGATAGAACACTTGCCTGGAATACACAAGTTTAATCCCCACTAATGAAAAGAAAAGAGGGAAGAGGAGGGATGGAGGAGAAAGAAGGAAAAGAGACTGGATGATTACTTAGTTGCTAAAGTGCTTGTCATGCATGTGTGAGTAACTAAGCTTAATCCCTAATGTCTGGGTGTGGTGACAACAGGACATACAATCCCATTGCCTGGGAAAGGAAGACAGGAGGATCCCTGGGCCTTACTGGCCAGTCATCCTGGCCAAATCAGTGAGCCCTAGATACCTACTCAGTGAGAGGCCCTGCCTCAAACACACACACACACACACACACACACACACACACACACACACACACACACACACACAAAACCAAGGTGGATGGTTCGTGAGGAGCAACACCCAAGATTGACTTCTGACTTGCACACACGGGGGAGGGCAGGTAAACAAACATACACAAAAGCAAGTAAGCAAACTACTGCCCTCATTCTGAGTGCTACTCTGTGAGTATTCCATTTGAATCCGCCTCTCATCGCCTTCACTGTCTCACCTACTTGGACCTTACTTATTAAGTCAGCATTTTAACATTAACTTCTATCAATCCACTTACAGGTAGCAACATCTGAGAGTATGAAAGTTCATCTATAAGTGAATTACTAAAAATAATAAATGGTGTTCTACAAAAAAAGAAACATTCAAAGCACTGTTACTAATACTGACATCCATATAGTCTTGAGATTTTTATGCCAGACTCTGACTAATATTTAATGACAACTAAGTCTGAACAAAAGAATGTCAAATGCCTACAGATGAACTTTGCTTCTATTTAAAGAGCTAAAGATGTATATTACCTTCTAGTTTGACCACTGGTATTTGCACCACTGAAATGCATCTTAGTGCCAAACTATCAAATGCCACTTATATCCAAAACGATATGTACTAGTTTGCTTTCTACTACTGTGATAAGAAACACTGAGCAAAAGCAACTTGGAGAGGAAAGGGTTTATTTCCCTTACAGAATACAGCCCACCGTGAGGGAAGTCAAAGCAGGAAACTAGAAGCAGGAACTGAAGCAGATGCCATGGAGGAGGGATACTTACTGGATTGCTTTTCAGGCTTGTGGTCAGCTACCTTTCTTATACAACTCACGCCCAAAGTGAGCTGGACCCTCCTACATCAATTAGCAATCAAAAAATAAAAATGCCCACATGAATACAGGCCAATCCAATGGAAGCAATTTCTTAACTGAGGTTTCCTCTTATTAAGCATGTCAAGCTGACAACTAAGATTAGCCATCACATTATATACTATATACCTCATTATGTACTTCAACTCTCTGTAGGAAGCTCTGGCCATAAGTACACTTTGCTCTTAGGATAGCAGGCACCATTATCTCCTTCCTTCTGTTTTCCCCTCTTCCTCCTCCCCTGTAAGTCATGGCTCTTCAAAGTTAAGATTCAGAATCTTATAAAAAAAATAATAATTCGTACCTGTGTTGGTGATGCAATCCTAATGCTCTTAGAGCTGAGGCAGGAAGATAATGAATTTGAGGTCAGTCTGGACTACACTGTGAGTAAC